AATTGGGTGCAAATATTGCGGAGCCTCACAGCGCTTGAAAACTGTATCGTTGTCTTCTGCGCCGTCGTGACTTTCAACGCGAGTTTTCCACTCCTCCATGGAGGATGGAGGGATAGAATTGGTGTCGGTCGATTGAGTATTTAATCCTCAATCGAATGCGGTTGGTTTCNAAGGAGTGGAAAACTCGCGATGAAAGTCACGACTGCGCAGAAGAAAACGATACAGTTTTCAAGCGCTGAGAGGCTCCGCAATATTTGCACCCAATTAAAGATTAATTTCTCTTCTCCTAATGAAGATGGAGAGATGGAACGAACGCCAATCGATTGAGAATGGAAATCTCAATGACTGGATGCCGGTTTCATTTCTTAATCTCAATTAGGAGCGGAGGAATGAATTTTCAAATGCGCGGAGTCGCCCCGAACAATTCTTCGGCGTCGAGTGAGACCGGAGGGGCTCTACCGATTTGAAAATTGATTTCTCCTCCCCTAATTGAGATGAAGGAATGAAACCAACGCCTATCGATCGAGAATTATATTCTCACTGAATGACAGCGGTTTCATTGCTTAATCTCAATTAGGAGCGGAGGAATGAATTTTCAAAAGTGCGAAGTAACCCCGAACGGTTCTCCGGCGTCGAATGAGGCCGGAGGGGCTCCACCGATTTAAAAATTCATTTCTCCCCCCCTCCCCTAATTGAGATGAAGGAATGAAACCGTTGCCATTTATTGAGAATTCAATTCTCAATCAATTGGCATTCGTTCCATCTCTCCATCTTCATTAGGAGAAGAGAAATTAATTTTTAATTGGGTGCAAATATTGCGGAGCCTCACAGCGCTTGAAAACTGTATCGTTGTCTTCTGCGCCGTCGTGACTTTCAACGCGAGTTTTCCACTCCTCCATGGAGGATGGAGGGATAGAATTGGTGTCGGTCGATTGAGTATTTAATCCTCAATCGAATGCGGTTGGTTTCATCTCTCCATCTTATTTGGGAGAGGAAAAATGAATTTTTAATTGAGCGCAAATATTGCGGGGCCACTCGGCGCTTGAAAACTATATCGTTTCGTTGAACGCCGTTGTAACTTTCATCTCACAGCATTTCTAGCCCACCGATTCCTCCGATTCTGCTCACTCTACGCCGTTATCGACACTCTCGGACTCGTACCCTGCTTTATTCATAGGTACGACCTCGAAATTAGTTCATGCGCCACCGCTGCGAAATGTTGCGGTTGAAGCTTCTCCATAAGCGCTTACAATCTCCCCTATAATCTCTGCTGCCAACGGTACCGGTAACAGCGGGAAAAAAGGGAAGAAGAGAAAGAAAGAGAGAGAAACAGACATTATGTTCGTTGCCAACTTTGACGAACAAATCTAACGCTGAGAGAAAATAAAATCGCAAAATATTACATTATGACGGTTGTTATGGCGAATATTTTTATTTATTATTCATTTATCGAGAAAGTAAAAATATCTTTAGAAAGCTCATAGTCAACTTATATAATGTAACTGAGGACGGATTTCGCGAGAAATTCTCGTGTTACGAGAAAAAAAAATAAAAACCATTCGGGGAGTAGTTGTGTCGTGTATATTATACGCAACAGCATCGGCCTATGACGTCACACCGGTAAAACGTCAACTTGGCCGATACGCTGTTGCGTATCTTGATATAAGTTGGAAAATGGTTTATTTCAAGTAGAAATGTGTGAAGCCGAAATCGGTCTGAATCAAGTCGAAAAATCGGTCTGCATGAAACCAAAAAATCGGCTGGAATCCAAACCGAAAAACGGACCGATTCACGCCGAAATTCTACCTGTTACAGATATTAGATAGGAACTTGACTCAAGTCGATTCTTCGATTTGATTTAAACCAATTTGGGGCTATGGGTCTTCGTCAAAGGGGTTTTACATAAGGGGATCTTTGTGTGAGACAGGGTGCATGGGGGGGGGGGGGTTGTTGAACTGACTACTCGATGTACAGCCCCCCCGTAGTCCAGTTAGCTCGTCGATAAGTTTTTCAAGGCTATCTCCGAAAGTAAAGGGAGGTTGTGCATTGAGAATTCATAACCAAAAAAATTGAGAACCCCCCCCCAATTCTTCAGTAAAAATTCGCTATCTCCCTTAGTTTCGGAGATATCTTTGAAAAACTCATCTATGAGTCATCTATCCGAGGGGAGGGGGTTGTACATCCAGAAATCAGTACACCCCCCCCCCCCNCCCCCACTTTCTATATATGAGGCTCCCGAAGGGAACCTCATCGACAATGTACATCAAGAATTTCGGAACAAATTGACTTGAATCAAACCGAAAAATCGGTCTGAACAAACCGAACTTGGTCTGAATCAAGTCGAAAAATCGACTTGAATCAGACCAATATTCTGGTTTGCATCTGTCTGAGTCCGACTTGATTCATGCCGTCAATTCGTCATGAAACAAGTCGATCACCGGCATGATCCGGCCCGACTTCATTAAGACCGACTTTTTTTGGGTGGAGAGAAGATAGATTCAGCGATGATGAGGTCATAGTTTGGCTGCTGGAGCGTCAAGGGACAAGTTGACCAGTGGACGCTGAGATCGAGATCTAACAGGGGAGTGGGATTCATCTGTAGCATAGCGTCCGTAAAGCGCTGCCTTACGGCCGGAATGACGAAAAATTAGGTTCGTCACTCGGCCGAAATAGTACATATCGTCATTAGGCCGAAAAATACTTTTCTGGCGAATATGAGTTTGCAGCTCTCGTCTTCGGCTTGGGCTACGAACAATATTTGTTGTCATAACGGATGCCAGCGGCGATTCACGGACACGTAGCGTCGGTGATATGCGTGAAGCGCTGCCTTGCGGCCGACATTACAAAAACAACTTTTCTGATTCGTATGATTACATTCCTCGGTTTCGCCTTGGTTTGCAACCGTCACACTCGTCAGAAAAGTTTTTTTTGGCCGTGTCACAAAAACAGTTGTTTTGCTTGAATTGAATTAAATAGTTGTTTTTCGACTGCTTTAGTTTGCCTCACTCTCCCCTAAAAATATAGTGGAACTTGGTTATAAAACAATCGATCATGTTCTATAATGTGTCGAAAAATTTCTCAATTTTCTCACATCTAATGGACGAAATCTAGACTTTAGTATTTAATCATAGTGAACACGTTGATTTTGATGAGCCGCTAGATTAAGTGCTAATTTTTCAATATTTTTCCTTTAAAAAAACTAGAACGAGTACTGAATTGAGCACAAAATTACTATCCCGAAAATAATCGAGTTTTCTGGAAAATATTTGCAGTTTTTAATAACCTGAAAATTTGTAATGAGTGTAGAGCTCCTTTAAATGGAAGTTCTGACTTTCAACTGCGAAAGTCGAGGGGTTATTCACTGGTAAAATCACGATGTCGCCTTGGGATGAAATCACATGAAATCAGTCCTGAAGTAGGTGAAATTAGTTGAAAGCGAATGAAATCATGGGATTGTACTGATTACAAGTGATTCCATATGAAGTTACTCGCATTGATCAAATCGGGGAGATGAGAAATTTTATTTTGAAACGTATAGAAAAGAAAGAAAAATTTATGATTGACTCAACACTCGTTTTGACGAATATGGTTCACCAACAGAGGTTCTCGCCCTGCAATAGTATGCAACGAAAAGTAAAACACAATTCTGTTGAATTATGAAATTCATAAAACAGATTGATATTTCTTTAGAATCTCTCAAGCCGCCGTTGAACATGGTCAGTATTGTAATTCCGAGTCCCAAGTTGAAACAAATTCCGACGAAAAAACAACACCATAGTATATTGTGCATCAAGGGCGGAAAGTCATGTTTTCCCGCCCGAGGTGAACATGCTATTTTTCAACATGCCTGCAAAGGAAAGTTCGTATTTTGCTCTTTGATGAGCGGGAGGAAAGTGAGTCCTTTCCGCCCTAGGGTGGAAAGTTGCTCTCAAGGACGGAAAGTCTTGACTGCATTTTAGTTTTAACTGTATACAGTGGACTCTGGTTAGAGGCATATTGGTTAGTGTCGAACTTCCCCTCAATTTTTTTTTCTCGCCGCTCGAGCGCTTCCCCCACTCTGTCCCCACGCAAGCCGAAGAGTAAACACTCCAATATTTTCTTCAAATTGCTATTATCTTCCGATTTGAGTAAAGACGAAAAATAAAATATTCTGCATTTGAATTGTCGATCAAAAAATTTAGTGCACTTCTGGCTGTCATGGGGGGAGGATTTCGTTTTGTTGGCATAAAATTAATTCGAAATTGGATTAAATAAAATAATGAAGCGAGGTAAAGAAAACAACTGTAACATTTTTAATTCACATGGTTCGTTAACTCCAGAAGAAATATCTGTTCTATGGAATGTTAGGTACGAAGCTTCTGTGATCAAATATAGTCAATGAAATTTAAAATATTGATAATAAAAAAATCGTCTGAATCTATATGAATATTGCTATTATAGTTGAAGCTGCGAACTAAAGTTTATCCTTAAAATAAAGTGTTGAATTGAGAGAGAAAAGAAATAGTATTTTTCATTTTATCGTTCCCAGTTCTCGGAAGTCGGGCTCGGCGTGACCGCGTAGTGGGGGCAGGGAAATAGAGTCGAATTCTCCGAATTCGTTTCCCCTATCCCGCAAAACAGTCGACTCTAACCAGAGTCCACTGTAATAGAATTCCCGTCTGCTTTCTCTTATACACGCAGATCCGTTAAATCCAATTACGGCTGAAGTCTTGACGTTCCGCCCGAGGGTGTAACTTGCCACCCGAGGGCGAGAAGTACTCACTTTCCTCCCGCTCATCAGGGAGCAAAGTACGAACTTTCCGTGCAGGTATGTGAAAAAACTACTTCTTATACCTAAACAATAAAGTCATTGCATAATGTCGAGTAACATATTACGAAATTGGCTTTCATTGGAAGCGTCAATATTCACCTACAGAAAATGGAACGAATTTCAACAGAAAAACGAAAATTGTGAAAGTAAAGACATCTTTAAAATCAAATGCGTGAGGAAAAATACTAACCCTGATGGCATTTTCCACTTTAGTTTTAACTGCATAATAGAATTCCCGTCTGCTTTCTCTCATACACGCAGATCCGTTAAATCCACATCCGGCTGAATGAACAGCTTCATCCAAGCTGATTGGTGCTTCCTTCGGATACTGGGAACAACTCTCGGTGGGTGTCTTTAGTGGAGGACCACACGCTGGGGATTCGAAGTTACCCGGAATTGCCATCAGTTCCTCGAGTCTCAGCGTTAACTGATATGGGATCATTGGATACTCGAATTTATTGTAGGGATTCATTGGATTCTCCTGCTTGGCTAGCATTTTCTGTGCCTTTTCCAGATTTGTTGTCGTATTTTTCTCAATTTTCTCCCCTTCCTTGGTAATCAATGATGTATTTTCGTGACTATTAAATCATTGGAAAATTAGACGCAATTGATAAATTGAACCGACTATCCTGCATTCGATAAGCCGAAGGGGGGATGTGGCAATGTGGCGAAATTTAAACTGTCCATTCTCAACCCCTGGTCCTGTATTATCATGATTATTCCACTGTCAAGTATCACACACCCAAATGTGATAAATGGAATCAATAAATAGCATTGTCGTACGAAAACTTCCGATACAGGATATTTATAAAAAATCAGAAAAATAAACCCAGCATACGAAAATTCTGTAGCAAAATATTTCAATTCCATTCACACATTCATTCACCATTGTCAGTAGTATCAATATGTTTTTATTCTTTGATGGGCACATGAATATGAAAAATAAAATTTATTAGTGGAAACTTTTGAAATACGTATCAAATAGCGTGTACCCATGGATTATATGACAACGACGGCTGGATCCACGCTTCGGGTGCCGAGAAACTGACTTTGTGGTTGAATCCATGAGGCCAGGTATGATAAAATCCTTATCGCTGTGTTTCATCGGATATGCGTGGTTAAAAACTGGTAAAAAAATACACATTGAATTTTGTTCATTTTGGTCACGACCTAAGGGTTACAACTAGATTTCACTGAAACACCGATATTTTTATTGGTTGGAAGGAAAAAGTTCCGCTTAGTTTCATTTCTCAATTGAGATATTGTTTTTTTTTTCGGTTTCGCAATCGCGTTCAGGTGGTTGGAATAACGAAAGGAATCAGTTGAAATGAAGCACTAAGCGAAAATGAAAAGATAATGAATTGACTTATTTTCAGAGATTCGTCTGACTTTCTATGACACTCTCCGAAATGTAATTACAATAATGAACGGTTTGAAAGTGGTTAGGACAGAAGAAGAAACAGGAATAGCAGTCGCTAGGGATGGACCTGTAATTGTGGATAGAAAATTTGAAAGCATTAAGTTGGACTATTACACAGTGTGTGAGAAAGTGTTGGGTGTGGTCGATCGATTCTCCTTTCTGATGGTCATTCAACTTTACCTCACCAGGGACTGGAATGCTTTGAAAACGATGGAAATTCAAACAGCAAGATTTTATCAAAGGGAGAAAATTCATTATGTATATGAAATGATTCGCCTAGCATTGGAAAGAACCTTATGAGAATATGTTAAACCAATAATCCAGTGTGATTGAGGAAGCTCAATGGATTCCAGGGGAGAAGTAAACAAATTTATCTCGTGTTAAAAATTCTCATATGCTTATCTATTACAATAAAATTTTAGTTTTTGCTTCAAGCAGAATTCATAGCTCCTTACAGTTAAACATTTTTCTATGAAATTTCTGGTGCGAGTCTTGGAAATTTCTAACCAGAAACATGTCCACTGAAATTTGAAGGAATTTTGACATTGAAAATTCCTAATTCTATGGTAAAATCCCTGGGATATATAAATTTCAGTTTAATCGTTCCAGACAAATTGATGAAAAATCAGAGAAATTCAGAGAAATCTCTACTTGAATTCAAGATCCCTCCGAATTTTCAGAGAATCCCTTCAAAATTTCCTGAAATTCCAGGAATTTGAAAGGAGTTCTCTGAAAATTCAAGGGAATTTGGCAGAGAATATTCATTTTCACTCGAAAATTCACGTGAACTGTGGAATTTTCGTTTTCCTGCCGCGAAAACAATGGGACTTTCGTTGAATTTACAGACAAACTTGAAATTCCATTTTATTTTTCCCGTTAAATCGAATTAAAGTGCGTTCTCAATGTTTTTAACAGTGTTCTGTAGTGTATGCTCTTTCATTTTGCAGTATCATCGTCAGAAACTGCATGGTTATGACGGATAGAGGTTATATTATGATTCAGACTGGACCTGTTTTTGTTTCTATGAAAACTAATTGAACGTTATGTATCACCATTGCATCTTTAAATCATATTCCTATGGTGTGCTTTGCAGACCCCGTTTTGTACTCGTATTGAAAATGGATCCGATTAGCGCCATCGGTGAAAATCCATGATTCACAATGGAATCCTAATGAAAAGAAGCAATCCTAGGCGGTTTCTAGTTGAAATTCCACTCAAGAAAATTCCACTTGCTCTATTAATAGTCTTTCGCTCACGAAGACTATAATGCGTGTAGAAATTGTACGATCAAACGAACTTACCTGTAAGTGAAGTTCGATCGTGATTATATGAAGGGCCTCGTCGAGAGATTTTAATAACTTGCAATAGTCCGCCTGCGGCTACATGGAGCCACACGCCTTCAGAGACCATAGAAAAAGTTGGCTGTGGCACCTCGGCGTTGAGGGCTCGCCATCTTATCATTAGTTTAAAGTTAAGCAATAGTGTAGAAAAAATTGGACGGGTTTGGGAAAGCTAGTTGGGAGGGACTGAATCTCTCGACGAGGCTCTTCATTTAATCACGATCGAACTTCACTTACAGGTAAGTTCGTTTGATCGTACAATTATATTCGAGCCTCGTCTTCGAGATTTTAATAACTTGTAGATGTTCAAAGATCATCCAATTTTTTCTTTTTGTTTTTTTTTTTTTTTTTTTAATCAAAATCCCAGATTTAATATGAATATGAATATTAAAGAGTTTAAAGACGAATGTTAATGGACAAAAAGAATGGTTATTGACTAAACCATATTCAATAGAACTTTGACAAAAAAACTTTGATCAACGGCAATTATAGAAATGTACAAATCGTACGTCTAACCCTTTCGAGACTCGTTTTCTCACAGCAGCTGGAGTTGCTGTAATGTAAGTTGAGAATTAGCTGTATCGACTTCAAGATGGCTATAGGAAAATATAATCCGTTAGGCCAGTGTTTATGGAGATTCGCAGCTATAAAACTCTCTGAATGTAGCGAACAGTATAAAGATGTTATATTTAAAATCTCAACATACTACAGAAAGCTATTTTGGCTGCGCAAAAATGATACCTTTCAAAACGGAAAAGGGGAAACAGGCTGTGGATCGCCTGGGCGAGAAGATTGTCACCTGTCTGGTATCGTGAGATTTGACGCACCTTTGACACTGTTCTCAAGTTTAATGGCAGAAAACGTTTGTCGTCTCTGCGAAATACTCAAGGTCGAGAGAAAGACAGATTTTCATTAAGATGAAGAATTGACAGATTTGCCTTGAGTGGGAAAGACCTGGGTGGTAGGTCAGAATACACTCAAGATACTAGATGTGAGTGCATTGTGATTTACCAGGACGTAGTTTGAAAATTTTTTGAACCTTTGGAATGTTGAATTTTGTCCCACTGTTTCTTGATT